AAGCACTTCTTCAGTTCAACCACAATTACTTGATCATTTTTGAGGAAGCACTCCCTCAATCCTATAGACACACCTTCGTGACTTACTCCTAGAAATTTATAAAGCATAGTCTCTTTAGTCCTCTCCAAATCCTGTGAGCCATTTAATATCCTCATACAGATTTCTTAAAATAGCAGCTAGTACATATTCTTTGCTATAACTGGTCTTGACTACACTACCACTTAACAACAATCTATACAAGAAAATGGCTGGGTCTCTAGAGAAAGTGAACCAAAGAGACTCTAGATTAAGAAGCAAGCAGATACAGGATTCACGTTAACAAAAAAAGCAGGAATCATATGAACATTTATATACTAACTTATGAGACCTCCAACCCTTTTTATTGCTTAGTGTCTAAAGCTTGTGCCTCCAGGTAGGACACGAGAAAATTTAAAATAAAAGACTTACAGATACTAGTATCTGGGACACTGGACAAAACTTCTGGGTTCTGATCTAACCAGTACAGTCTAGTACCGGAAAAAGCACAAAAATCAGCATTACCTTATTTTTTTTTTAATAATTTCCCTAAAAAGGGAAAAGATAAGATAAAGATAAAAGAGGGGAAAGATAAGGTTAGAATAGGATACCACTATAAGATTTGTCTGTCTTTTTTTGTTTTCCTGAGACAGGGTTTCTCTGTGTAGCTCTGGCTATCCAGGAACTTGCTCTGTAGATTAGGCTGGCCTCAAACTCAAGAGATCTGCCTGCCTCTGTCTCCCAAGGCAGGGATTAAGGAACTGTGTCACCACCACCTGGAAAGATTTGTATTTCTATTAATTATCTTATATCAAGTGCATTATTACTTTGGAGAAAACTAAAAATGCATATTGAAACACAAAGAAATTGGGCTGAGGAGATAGCTCAGTTGGTAAAGTGCCTGCCTTGCAAGCAGGAGGACCCAAGTTCGATCCCCAACACACACACATGGAAACAGGAGGATCTTAGCTCAATGACCAACCAATTTGGCCTTACTGGTGAGTTCTAGACCAATGAGAGGCTCTGTCTAAAGGAAGTGGATGGCACTGTCCTCTGTCCTCCACACTCACATGCACAAACACATACATACACACATACCGAAACAAAAATAAACTATATGGAAGGAAAACAACAGCGCCACTAGATCAAGAGACACAAAACCATAAGTTCTTATTATTTTGCCTACATGAATTATCACAGAACCCTGTTAAGTCTGTCCATTCTATATATCAAAAGCCTATTAGTTTTCATAAAGTAGTAATTGTGAAAGCATTTGAAGACTAGGTAGTCCAAACTAAATTCCAATCCAAAACTTAGTAAATATGAAGAGAATGTCAACTATCTAGTTATAATTTATTTTTATATATGCTTAATGAATAAGCCATATTTCCAATAAAAAAATATAAAGTGATCAAGAGCCTTTATGATTTTCTAACAGCAGGTGCCATCAACTCATCCTATGGTTTTCCACACCTCTGGAAAGCTATCAGCTATGAGTGACTTGAAACTTAGACCTGCTTTAAGCCTGAACTTAGAGGTGTCAAGGGGATGAGAATATAAAGTCAAAAAGTTGGGGTCAGGAGGACTGCATAAGCTGATGGCTCATGCCAGCAAGCTCATTAAGCAGCAGAGCATCTTATATACTGTATGCAGGGGAGATGGGACAAAGCCAGCAGAAAGCTATCATACAACAGCAAGAACTCTGCAGGAAGCTAGTCAAGTAATGCTGTACAAGGGAACACAGGATGTTTCAAGTGTGTCACAGACCAGGCACAAAGTGGCCTTGGGATTGAAAACCACAGGCCTTCACAGGGAAGTCTCTGTTCCCAGGAACAGAAAACTTGACTCCCTTGAGGTCCTTCCTGGTCCCAGCCCCAGCTCTTGTCAAGTGTGCACATAAGCAAGGACACAGAAACTAATGCTCTCTTTGTGCTTTCAACAGGGCCACTGGAAAAGTTTTGAATTGGCCTGGCCCCCAACAGTCCAGGGGGAGTTAAGAAAAGGAGTTATGCAAAAAGCATTTTATAAAACAAGAAGAAATAAACAGTGCGTAGGAACTAAAGAAAAATCAGAATATAAGAGCAAAGAAAGCTACTTCCAAAAAGGTGGTGTATGGGATCAATATAGCACCAGTCTCCCCTCTACCCTACAAATACAAAGAACAGAACAGTCAATACATCTTCAATGAAACTTTAACTCCAGGATATAAGGAAAGAACAGAAAATGGGTTGGAAGAGAAGCCCAGGGGCCAGGACTTATTTCTACTTTTGGATGAGATATATAGGGAAGAGAGTCCCGCAACAGAGAGACATGTGTTTTGTAACTCTGGCAAAGGAAGGAAAGACTCACAAGCCAAAAGGAAATACTGATCATAGCTGGCAACAATCCTAAAGCTTTAAAGAAAATGCAAAAAACAGCCCCCAAACCCTGATTTACTCATATGGACAAACAGATCAAGTAATTTATGAGGAGAAGCAACCAGGCTTTTTTCCCAACAATATTTAAAAGTGGAAAATAACACAGAGTTGCCTAAAGTTCACAGAAACTACCCACAATAAACCTTTGGGAAAAGCAGCTGGGCGGTGATGGTGCACACCTTTAGTCCCAGCACTCAGGAGGCAGAGGCAGGTGGATCTCTGCGAGTTGGAGGCCATTCTGGACTACAGAGCGAATACCAGGATAGGCTCTAAAGCTACACAGAGAAACCCTGTCTTGAAAAACAAAACAAAAAATTGAGAATTTTAGATACAGCCAATCTTGTCGAATGTAATGATTTAGAAAAGTATTTTCTTTATATTTTAATTTTTTTAAATCTGCATTGGAGTGCATGTAGGTACCCAAGAAACTAGAAAAGGGTTTCAGAAGCCCTGGGGCTGGAGTTACAGTGGTTGTGAGCCACCTACTGTGGGTGCTGGAACCAAACCCAGGTCCTCTTCAAGAGAACAAGTGCTGTTAACTGCTGAGTCATTTTTCTAGTGCCCAAAGATACTTTCTTACATATAAAATAAATTATGGGTTGGGGATGTGGTTCAGTTGTAGAGTGTTTGTCCAGCAAGCACAAAGCCCTGGATTTGATCTCCAGCACCACATAAACACAGCACTTGAATGAGAGAGGCAGAAGGATCAGAACTTCAAGGACAGCATGGGGTTCTCTAGAGATCCAGCCTTAAAACCAAGAAACCAAAAAACCCATCCAAACAAAACAAACACACAAAAACCCACTAAACTGTAAGTTTCATGGATGTAGATTTTTTTCGTACACTGTTACATGTCCATGCCCCAAACAGTATTTTATCTTTACTGCTATTATTCTAACAACCATCCTTCATTTATATCCCCTTAGTTGTGAAATACTCATGAAAGCTACTGACATCCCTCGCACCTCACTGAATTCTCTGACAACTTGGCATACTTATTCATTTGGTTCTAGTGTTTCCCAGGGATACCATATCTGTAAATTCAAGTGGTTTTCAATTCTTTCAAATATTTTCTTTATTTTTATTTCATTCCATTTATTTACTTATGTTTTGCCTGTATGTATGTAAGTGTACCACGTGTATGCATTCCCCATAGAGGCCAGAAGGCATTAGATCCCCTGGAACTAGAGGTACAAACAGCCACGAGGGTGCTGAGAACTAAACTCAAAGTTCTCTGGAAGAGCAGCAACTGCTCTTAACTGATGGCCCATGGCCCCACCCCCTTCAATTTGTTTGTTTGTTTGAAGCAGAATTTCTGTATGTAGCCCTGGCTGTCCTAGAACTCGCTCTGTAGACCAGGCTAGCCTCGAATTCAGATCCATCAGTCTCTGCAGCGCTGGGATTAAAGGTGTATGTCACCACCACCCAGCATCCCTTTTCAATTTTTTTAAAATAATTTATTTATCTTTATTTTATGTGCATTGCTATTTTTGCCTGCATGTATGTCTGTGTGGGTGTGTCAGATAGAGTTACAGATAGTTGTTAGCTGTCATGTGGGTGCTGAGGATTGAACCCTGGTCCTCTGGTAGAGCAATCAGTACTCTTAACCACTGAGCCATTACTCCACTCCCCCTTTCAATTCTTAAAGAATTATTTTTCTTTCTTGTCTAATACTTGGGTAAACTTAACAAACAATATACAAGATCTATAAAAGAAAATTTAGATAGAAACAAAACAAAATAAGAGCTTGACAAACTGCTGAAATTAATTCATATGTTCAGCACAGTCCTAAGAAAAATTCAATATGGTTTTCTCCAAAAAGACAGTTAAATCTAAAATACATATGGCAAAATAAGAGAGTTCTGAAAAAAAAAAAGTGAATGCAACTGCAGAAAGAAAGGACAAAGTGAGAAGGATAAAAGGACACTTTTTAAATGTATCTTTTGAATGGTTTGCATTTTTTTAACCAAGTAGGCAAATGCTCTGTTTCCAAAATATTAAAGGGAAGATATGAAGAGGAAGAGGACACCTAATATTCCTAAGCCAGGAACTTAAGCTTCTAAACCATGGGACTTGTGAGGGTTGTCAAGCACAACTGAAAGTGTGACTAGTAAGTGTGACTAAAACACAAGGCTGAAGCTTCTCCAAGTGTAGCGAAGCCAAAAACTACAGGAAACCTAAGTGTAAAATAAAGGGGATTTTAAAATACCACACTCCACAAAATCTGAATGAATGTGTAAGGAAATAAACTATGAACGTGAGGGAGGGGTAAAGATCATATAAAGGTACAATAATCAAAAAGGTTCGTTGTAAACACCAGATGTGGCATCCTGATATCACTGCCCCCAAAAATTTACAAAAAGAACCCAACTCCAACAGGGAGTCATTCCTAGAAATGTCACACAATCTAGCTTTTAGTCTTCTAAATGGCAAATGTCACACATAGCATTTGTCATGTAGAAGACTAGGGCCTTTAAAGCAGTCTTGGGAAATGTGAAACGGAAGCAACCCCTCGCTGAACAACTGTCACGTGGCTTTCTCACTCAGAGCCACTTCTCACGTATTTACCTGGAGAGTGTCTCCAAAACATTTCTTCCTCCAGCACCCATGGCTCCTCTTCTTGCTCCAACTTGAAGATGACATCTGGTTTGGTGGCTTGACAACCTATTACAGGAAACAGGAAAGAACTCGCATGTTAATGCTGAAGACAAGCGTATAGATCTAGGGCTGGGTCCTGGGGTCTTGAGAACTTAGGAATGAGGAGACTCAAGGAACTTGCACAGTGACATAATTTATGAGTATCTACCTTCAAGGCTGGAGCACATGTAATCATGAGGGAAGACGAAGCTCATCAGCAAACTACTGTCCCCACACACTTCGGGAATGAGGAATTCTAAGGTAACAAGAAAGCTCCCCTTACCTACTGTTACTAGGTTGCTGTAGGTCTCTAGCATCACATCTCGGTACAAATTCCTCTGGGCAGGCTTCATTTGCTGCCATTCCTCCTGGGTGAGGTCCACAGCCACATCCTTGAATGTCACTGTTTTCTATAAAAACACAATCCCAATTAATCTGAAGTCATTAAAATTAGGACCTTCGATCAAAATATGTAGCATTCATTGAGCTAGTCACTAGGGGTCAAAGCTTGTTAAAAATTGTTTTTGAAGTCTTATGTTTACCAAATTTCACAGTATAAAGACAGGGCTAATACATCATAGTGAAAATACGCTGTAAGAGTTTGGGAATCATTGAGGCAGCAAGCACTCATTCATCCTTGTTTATTAGCTGACAGCGGTGATCACTGACTTTTTACTGTGACGGATGAAACCTATGGACATGAGTCATGAGTAAGCCGCTAAGACCTGACAGGCAGTTAGGTCTTCCATTTAGTGAGAAAGGAAACAAGGCAGAGTAAAGGGCAAGCGAAAGAGGCAGGCAGGAAGCAAAGGCACTAATATCTGAAAAGGTAAATTTTAAAATTCCTACTGGTCTACATATCAAGTCCCAGGACAGCCAGAGCTACATAATAGAGATTCTATCTCAAAGCCCCTTTAAAAAAAAAAAAAAAAAGGTAAAGCAACATAAAAGTGGGCAATGACTCTAAATAGGTATGGCTTTGAAAAGACACACAAATGGCCAAAAGCCATGCTATTATATATTGAGTATTGCCTAGCATTAAGTATATGCAAATCAGAATCACAATGGGACACACTTCACATACAGCAGGACAGCTGTATCAAAAGAACAAATGGCAGGTGTTAATGAGGATAAAGAGAAACCACACCCCTCATGAACTGCAAGGGGAATATAAAATGATCCAGGTATTTTGAATAATAAAGGAATGATCCCTAAAAAGTTTAAAATAGATTCAATTCCTAGACACAAATATGAGAAAACCAAAAATCTGCTCATGTAAAAACCTGTGCTCCAACTGGAAGACAAATGTCATACAATTTCAATTTTATGTGTAACCTAGAAATGATGAACTTATGGGAACAGAGAGCAGAATTGTGGCTATTAGGCTTCAATGTGGGTCTTTTAACAATGGGGAAACGACTGGTTTAAGGATATAAAACTGCAGCTGGACAAGAGGCATGGACTGTGAGTGCTAAGTTTGCAATCTAAACAATCTAGGACATGGCAGGGGAAAATGAATTTGTTTATGCTTCTTGATGCACTAACTGATCTGTTTTAAACTGTAGGAGAGATATTGTTGGACAGTCCTTGCATATTGTCTCAAAATACAAGAAAAGAACTACAGCCATTTAAATCCAGGCCTATAGGCCTGGCCCAGGATGATGTTGTAGAATTTGGGGAGCCCCCGAGGAGGGCTCTACCCTCTATGGGGAGTGGAGGGAGGAAGGGGATGATGGGGGATTGGGGAGGAGGGGGGAGAGGGAGAAGGGATTGACATGTGAAATTATTATTTGTAAAAATTAAATAAAAAATTAAATTAGAAAAAAGAAAACCTGTGCTCCAAAATTCTTAGCAGGGTTATGCATAGCAGTCAAATGTCAAAGGAGACAAGCCTGGTGGCACCTGTCTCAATCTCAGCTGGCAGGTTGGGTCCCGCCTGGGCTATATAGCGAGGCCTTATCTCTAAAGCAAATATGGAAATGACTCAAATGTCTATTAGATGCTATGTGGTATATACACACAATGGAGTATTAGGAACTTTGATTAGGGATGAGGGTGAGGGTGTGTGTGTGTGTGTGTGGTGTATGTATATGTGAGCATATATATGTGGGGATACATATATGTATATGCATATAGAGGCCAAAGGTGACATCTGGTGTCTCCTCAATTGCTCTCCACTTTATTTAGGCAGGTTCTCTAGCTAAATGCAGAACTCATTGATTTCAGCTAGTCTAGCTTGCCAACTTGCTCCTGGGATGCCTTGTCTCTGTTCCCATATGGGTGGCAACCATGCCTGCCTAGCTTTGGAATCTGAACACTGGTCCTCAAGCTTTCATAGCAGCTGCTTTATCCACTGAGCTGTCTGTCTCTTAGAACCTATTTATATAGAACTTAAAAAAAAAAATTGAAGTACTAGGGACTATGAAGATGGCTCAGATAGCAAGCATGAGGAACCTAGTTTGGATCCCCAGAACCCATGTATAAATCCAGGTAGAGCTATACCAGTAATCCCAGAACTGGGATGAAAGACTCCTTGGGGCTTGCTAGCCAGGCAGACTAGTTGAATTGGAGTGCTCCAGGGTTAGTGAGAGACCCTGTCTCAAAGATAAGGTTTTCTTCCACAGAAACTACAATTTGTGGAATGGATTTTATGTGTTTGCTTTGACTCTCTAGATAATATTTAACTTCTCTGCAGTACTTATTTTTTCACAGCTGTACTTCCTTTCCTCTGGCTTTTATGTTTTTAATCTGTATTTTTCTTCACTTACTTTCATTCATTTCATTTTTCCCAGCTTAGCGCTAGATTATAATAACCCAAAACAGTTGCACTGCAACACAATGCAGGGAAAAATTATGTTTAGAACGTACAAAAGGTCTGGTCATGTCCTCTTCCTCCTGGCAAAGTGCAGAGTCCTGGGAACACCAAGCTGAGGAAAGAAGCAAAACAGATTTGCTCAGAGGTTCAGGCACAGGAATGTGGAAAACTTCACGAGCAGATGTTCTAATATCCTTCAGAAACTTGATCCTCCACACCATGAGAAAAGTTAAGTACCACATCAATCTCCAGAGACTCCGAAATGTATGCGGAGAACTAAACTTACACATGCAGTCTCATGAAATTTTGAGGAGGTTAAATAAATTGTCTAATAACCCTACTGGCTACATAGCATACAGTATTTCTTTAATAGAAAAGTCCTGATGTGAATTATAGAAAATGTAAAAATTTAATAAATCAAAAATTAGCACTATATAGATGTTATTCAGAAAAATGGCAATGAATACCCAGATTAAAATGTTCAACAGGGATAAGAAGGAATGAAATGGGAAATGCCTATTTTGTTTGTTTGTTTTTGTTTGTCAAGACAGGGTTTCTCTGTGGCTTTGGAGGCTGTGCTGGAACTAGCTCTTGTAGACCAGGCTGGTCTCGAACTCAAGGAGACCCACCTGCCTCTGCCTCCCAAGTGCTGGGAAGGCGTGTACCACCACCGCCCGGCTTATAACACCACTTTTAAAGTATACTAAAATATGTTCTCTAACAAAGGATGAGCCAGTAAGATGGCTCAGCAGGTACAGGTACCTGCCTCAAGCCTGACAACATGAATTCCATCCCTAGGAGAGAACCAATACCTGCAAGTTGTCCTCTGGCCTTCACGCAAGCACATGCATAGATACAAACACACTAAATAAATATAAAAATTTAAAAAATGTCAAATTAGCAAAATAAATTATGTCTATCTTGTATAATCAGTAATACTGGCATGAACGATAGGAGCATCCAGTTTTCCAAGCTGAAAACACAGCTCTCCCAAGGAACCCACACTGTTCTTTTCTGCCAATCTCACCTCTTCCCCGAATCATCTGGGTCAACGGCTCCATGTCACACTGCTATCACTGGTATTTCAAGGTTGAGATGTCATTTGGGTCTTGCCGGCTCTGGGAAGGACTGGTCAAGATGGTCTACAGATGCAGAATCCACTCCTGCCCAGGGCTCTCGAGCTTCTGGTGCAGATCTCAGGTCAGAAGGTCTCCTCCCATGGCAGACACCTGTTCTCAGGCTTCATACTCACACCACAGATGTGTCTTAGTGTGGGGGAGGTAGGACCTGTAAACTTAGACCAGAGATCAAATTTGCCTCATGCATTCTCACAGGCTCTTTGTCATAACCAGCTTCAGAGACAGCCCCCAGTGGTCAATATTTTCCAGTAGATTACATTTTCAGACAACCTGATACAAACCAAGAGATAACTAATGCTGACCAAAACACTTATTTCCTTGTTTGCCACCCACTGACTAGAGATACTAGCTGAAAGCCAGACTCTGGTACCTCAGGCTAAAGGAAGTGCTCAACAGAGAGACACCAAGAGTCTAGAAAGGAAGTGATGCTCAAACACCTGTGAGTACAAAAGTGTAGCCTCAGGGAGAGACAGATACAGTGCTGAACCAGACAACTTGGGGCTGGCAGGATGTATCACTGGGTAACAAGACTTACTTGCTTGAGCCTGATGACCTGAATTCTACCCCTGGAGCCCATTAAAAAGGGAGAATTGACTCTAAAAGTTGTCCTCTGACCCCCACATGCACACTGTGACATGTGTGTAACGAAGTCTTCTGAAAAATACTTAGTCAGAAAAACCCCATGCTGGAGTAAGGCGAGTTGCATTAAAAATCCAGCTATTACCGTTCTCTATCTGAATTGCCTTGGTAATTTAGGTAAAAAGAGCACTGCAATTTAGAATTCCAAGGCTTTTCATTTGAAATAAAAATTATAACCTGTCACAAGGTACTAGATGTAAATAAATGAAATGGTTATTAAAATACATAGTTTACCATCTATGAGCCTTTACTAAGAGAAAAATACAGGAAAAAGTGTGCATCTTTGTTCGGTATGATAAAGCAGGAAAGATTGTTTTAATAAATCTTGGTGTTATGCTTGAGATCCATTCCTAATATCCTTCACATGGTGACTTTTGTTTTTTCAATCAACGTCTTTCTCTGTAACCCAGGCTGGCCTATAAGTTACTATGTAGTTCAGGCTGGCCTTGAACTTGTGATCATACTGTCTATGCCTCCCGAGTATCAGAATTAAAGATGTGTGCCACTCAGCCAGTTTACTTTTTATTCCACAATTCTCAAATTCTAAAAAGCGGTATCATTTATATTGTAGTGTCTACCCACTGTTTTCCCAGTGAAAATGGGAATATACTTCTAATTTTGTCAATGATAGGAGATCAAAAAGTAAGATATGAAACATATGCTGCCATTGCAAATACGGCAATCACAAAACTAAAGAAAGTAACTAATAAAAAAACAAGTAATCCTCCTCCCACGCATAACACTCAGAGCAACTGAAAGCAAGGACTCAGACTCTTTGTGCCCTTCCGTTTATAGCAGTGCCATTGCAACAGCCAAGCAATAGATGGGTAGATGGCTCATGGGTTCACGAAGAGGTTAAAAATAGGCATTCATACACAAAATATTGTTCAGGCTTAGGAGAAAATTCTGACACTGCTAATCCAGAAGAATGTTAAATTAAATCTTTATGTTAAATTAAATCAGTTACAAAAGGACAACTATGGTACAGGTCTTCTTACTCTAAATACTTGGAATTCTCAAATTTAGACACAGGAAAAATAGCAGTTGCGAGGACTGGTAAGAATGAGGAATCAGAATTACTGTTTAAAGAATATCAAAATTTATTTCCTAATATGAAAACAGTGCTGTGTGGGGGGAGTGATGATGAAAACATAAAAGGTAAACGTACTCTACGTCAATGAATCATATGATTAAATATTAGTATAATGAATTCTGTATCGTGTATTTACCACAATTTTAAAAATATACATCGGCTGATCTGGCTATCCCCTCCCCCCAGTGTTTTTAAGACAGGTCTCTCTCTCTGTTCTGTAGATCAG